AAATCTTAAAAAAAATCTTAAAAAAATAATATGTAAATGAAATTGTGGATGTGCAAAACATTTTTTTAGCTAGATAAACCTAGGTTTTTCCCCTAGGTTTATTTTCTGACTCTGCCTATCATTAGCTCTCTTACCATGATCAGCTTAATTCAAATTCTCTTAGACTCCATCTGCTCACACATAAAATGGGCTAATAATAACAACCTCACAGGATACTCAAGATTAAAAAAGAGATGTATTTACATATGGCATATTAGATGTTAACGCTTATTGAGCCCTGTTTTGTGCCAGACATGTGCTAAACGATTTATACGAATCTTACTGAATCCTCATGACATCCTCTCTTAAAGTAAAAATTCCAGTTTCTTTTAAAGAAATTAAGGCTCATAAAGATTAGTTGTTGCCCAAGGTCATACAACTAAGTGTTGTGGTTGGCATCCCAAGTCCATCTTATTTACTCTACATCCTGTGTTTTTTTTTAATTGAAATATAATTAACACACAATGTTATATTAGTTTACATGTCCACTGTATTGGTTCAACAATTCCGTCCATTAGTGTTCACCAGGATACCTATGCTCAGTGTCACCAAGCAACTTTCTTTCTTTTTTTTTATTATTTATTTTAAAAAAGATTTTATTTACCCCATTCAACAGAGAACATGAGCACAAGCAGGGAGAGAGAGGGAGAAGCAGCCTCCCTGCTCTAGCAGGGAGGGGACTCGATCCCACGACCCCGGGATCACAACCTGAGCTGAAGGCAGACGCCCAACTGACTGAGCCACCCAGGTGCCCCAACAAGCAAAAAGCAACATTCTTATGACATTATTGACTGTGTTTCTCGTGCTCAGCACTTACAAACACAAGTTTGTGCCTCTGATCTTTTATTTCCTTCATCCATTCTCCCATCCACCTACCCAGTAAAAACCCATTTTTGAGGGAGCAGTTTTAATGAAGCTGCCATTTTGATTGTTCATTTCTTCTGTTTATTTTTTTTTAAGATTTTATTTATTTATTTGACAGAGAGAGAGATCACAAGTAGGCGAGAGTCAGGCAGAGAGAGAAGGGGAAGCAGGCTCCCTGCTGAGCAGAGAGCCCGATGCTGGGCTCGATCCTAGGACACTGAGATCATGACCTGAGCCGAAGGCAGTGGCTTAATCCACTGAGCCACCCAGGCGCCCCCATTTCTTCTGTTTAAACTGAGATTTAACTTTGAAAAGTTGAAAATAGAGCTACCCTATGACCAAGCAATTGCAGTCTTAGGTATTTACCCCAAAGATGCAAACGTAGGGATCCAAAGGGGCACCTGCACCCCAATGTTTATAGCAGCAATGTCCACAGTAGCCAAAATATGGAAAGAGCCTAGATGTCCATCGATAGATGAATGGATTAAGAAGGTGTGGTGTAGGGGCGCCTGGGTGGCTCAGTGGTTTAAGCCTCGGCCTTCGGCTCGGGTCATGATCTCAGGGTCCTGGGATCGAGCCCCGCATCGGGCTCTCTGCTCAGCGGGGAGCCTGCTTCCCTTCTTCTCTCTCTGCCTGCCTGTCTGCCTACTTGTGATCTCTGCCTGTCAAATAAATAAATAAAATCTCTTAAAAAAATTATAAAAAAAAAGAAGGTGTGGTGTATGTATACAATGGAATATTACTCAGCCATCAAAAAAAATCTTGCCATTTCCAATGCCCTGGATGGATCTAGAGGGTATTATGCTAAGTGAGATTAGTCAGTCAAAGACAAATACCAGTGATTTCACTCATGTGGAATTTAAGAAACAAAACAGGATTATAGGGGGAGATAGGGAAAAAGAAGATGAAATCAGAGAGGGAGACAAACTGTGAAAGACTAGGAAAGTCTGGGAAACAACCTGAGGGTTGCTGGAGGGGAGGGGCGTGGGGGGATGGGGTAACTGGGTGATGGAAGGAGCCCTGGGTGTTATATGCAGCTGAGGAGTTACTAAACTCTACCTCTGAAACCAATAATATATGTTAATAAATTGAATTTAGATGAAAAATAGAGATTTAAATCACATGTTTTAAATTCACCATTTTAGAGTGTACAATTCAGTGGGGTTTTTTTCTTTTATTTATTTATTTTTAAAAGATTTTATTTATTTATTTGACAGACAGATCACAAGTAGGCAGAGAGGCAGGCAGAGAAGAGAAGGGAGGAAGCAGGCTCCCCGCTGAGCAGAGAGCCCGATCCGCAGCTTGATCCAGGACCCTGGGATCATGACCTGAGCTGAAGGCAGAGGCTTTAACCCACTGAGCCACCCAGGCGCCCCGGGTTTTTTTTCTTTTAAAGATTTTATGTTTTTGACACACAGAGAGAGCATAAGCAGGAGGAGTGGCAGGCAGAGGGAGAGGGAGAAGCAGGCTCCCCAGTGAGCCGGGAGCCCCACAGGGGCCTTGATCCCAGGACGCTGGGATCATGACTTGAGCCAAAGAAACTTAACTGACTGAGCCACCCAGGCGCCCCTTTTAAAAAATATTTTATTTATTTAGGGGCGCCTGGGTGGCTCAGTTGGTTGGTGTCTGCCTTTGGCTTGGGTCACGGTCTCAGGTTCCTGGGATCAAGCCCCTTGCGGGGCTCCCTGCTCACTGGGGAGCCTGCTTCTTCCTCTCCCACTTCCCCTGCTTGTGTTCCCTCTCTCGCTGTGTCTCTCTCTGTCAAATAAATAAAGTCTTTTTAAAAGGGATTTTATTTATTTATTTGAGAGAGGGAGAGAAAGCACGAGATGGGGGAAGGTCAGAAGGAGAAGCTGACCCCCCACTGAGCAGGGAGCCCCCCCAGTGCAGACTGATCCTGGGACTCCGGGATCATGACCTGGGCCCAAGGCAGTCCCCAGCTTACTGGGCCACCCAGGTACCCCTCCAAGATTTTGTTTTGTTTGGTTTTTAAAGTTTACTTATATAAGTAATCTCTACCCCCAACCGTGCAGCTCTCAGGACCCTGAAATGCAGTCACAGGTCCCTCCACTTAGCCAGCCAGGTGCCCCCAATTCAGTGATTTTCCGTGTATTCTCAAGGCTGTGCGGCCGTCACCATTATTTAATTCCAAAACATTTTCATCACACGAATGGAAGTCCACACCCATTAATAGTCCGTGAGTCCCTTCAACCGGCCCCAGCCCCAGGCAACCACTAATACACTTCGTGCCTAGATGGAGTTACCGATTGTGGACATTTCATGTCAGTGGAATCAGGCAAGATTTGTCCTTTGGCTGAATGACACTGCACTGTGGGCACAGACATCTGTTTATCATTCATCACTCGATGAACACTAGACTCACTTCACATTTGCTTCACTGTTATTTGTAAATAATTCAAAAAAGCCTGGTGGCTAAATCCGTGTCACTTCGGAGTAGGTCAAGGAGCGACACTGCAATGAAACGAAGTTGGACGTCTAAACAGGAGGCCCTTTGGGGCGCCTGGGTGGCTCAGTGGGTTAAAGCCTCTGCCTCCGGCTCAGGTCATGATCCCAGAGTCCTGGGGTCGAGCCCCGCATCCGCTCTCTACTCGCTGGGGAGCCTGCTTCCTCCTCTGCCTCTCTGCCTACTTGTGATCTCTGTTTGTCAAATATATAAATAAAATCTTTAAAAAAGAAAAAATAAACAGGAGGTCCTTTAATTACTCAATTATTCCGGTGACGACCGGACGAACAGAATAGCCCCGGGCCCCTGTGTTCGCGACCTGACACCCCTGCCACGGAGGCCCGAGGCCGGCAGGGGGCGCGCGCGGCCCGCAGGCCGCTGTCCCCCAGCCTCCTGGGCTTAGGCGCTCAAGCCCCGAGGGTTCCTGCGTGACCACCTGCGGCGCCCCCTCCCCTGGGTCGCATCTCCCCGTCGCACGCTCCACCCACGCAACAGCGCTCCCGTCACTGTTTGTTCCCACTGCTGCTCGCCCGCTCCCCCGGACAGAAGCTCTAGCGCACCCGAGCAGGGGTCTCTGTGAATTTGGGTCCCTGAGACGTCCCTGTGGATCTGGAGCTGGTGGAGGACAGAGAGGGGCCAGGAGTCGGAGGACCGGCCGGCCCCACGGGACCCGCACCTGCACCTGCCGGGAGCCGGGGGCTGGGGTCCTTCCAGTAGCAGCTGTAGGGCAACAGCAGTGAGGCGCAGGGGCGGGGGTGTCAGGGCAGCGGGGGTTTCTGGAGAGGGGCAGCGTCTTCGCTCCGCAAAGGCTGAGGTCGCGCAGCCGGAAGGCGGCGGGCTCCGGCCCGGCGAAGGGGAGCGGGCGGATCGAGGGGTCCCCGCGGGGCTGGGGAGGGTCGCGGTGAGCGGAGGGGCCGGGAGCCGTGCGGAGTGGAGGCGGGGGCGTCCCCGCACCTGGGGCGGGCGAGGGGCCACCTGGCGGCAGTTGAGCTGATGCTGGGGCCGCTCAGGCCGCCTCCGGCCGAGCGTCCAGCAAAGCAGCTCCGCCCTGTAGTCTGGGTCCCCACCGCACTAGGTGGTCGGAGAACGACAAGCGTCCGGCGCCTGTGGGTTGTGGGTGGGGCTGGACCGGTGGGCCAGGGAGGGACAGGTGGGCCAGGAAGGAGAGGCTAGTGGGCGAGGGAGGGAACAGTGAGCCAGGGAGGAGGGGCTGGACCGAAGGGCAAGGGAGCGGCTGGTGGGCGAGGGAGGGACCGGTGGTGAGGATTTTGCGTCAAGGATGTTGGACTGAGAGGAGCCAGCAGTTTCACTGAGCATGACAGCCTGCGCTCGCTCAGGCAAGTGACAGGCGCGATCGAGGCCTTTAACCGAAAGCTCTGATTTCCTTCGCCGCTAGCAGGCGTCAAACCCGGGGAGAATCCGGGGTCTCAGTCAAAGCCACCCTCAGATGCTGGGAGAGCCCCGCCCAGCGCTGGATTCCTGGCCGGCAGCTCACTGGCGCTCGGCCCCTGGGCGCTGCCGTCCAATCCCGGGTTGCTCCCGCCCCCTATGCGAGCTGTGACCCCGCCCCCGCACGCGGATTGGTCAGGGCGCCCTTCGGCTCCTCGCGGCGAAGACCGGGAGCATCGAAATTCGCCCAAGGAATGCCCCCGCCCAGCCCTGCTGCGCATGCTCGCTCGGTGACCCCAGCTTGAGGTGACGGCCGGAACCGAGGCGTGTCTCCAAGCAGGAGGCTGCGGGACCTGCTGCGGTTCGGTCGCCGGAGAGGGAGGGCTCTGCTGCCGCCGCCGTCCAGCCGTGCCCGGTGAGGACGGGCCCCAGCGGGCCAGGGAGGGTCCCGGGTCCCACGGCCTGCCCGGCCCTCCCGGGGGTCCCGAGGGCTGCTGATGCTGGGAGGGGGGTCACCCGGCTCTGCGTCCGGGAGCTCAGGCCGCCTCCTTCTTCCTGGCTCTTCCTTCCCCCATCCCACCCCACTCCGGATTGAGCCCTGACGCCCCCAGTCAAGGGTGCCAGCACTGGTCTGCCTTTCCTTGACCACACCCAGTACTGCCCCCCTCCCAGCAGCGACCCTCAGCTTCGTCCCACTCTGGCGGTTGAGTTGTGAGATATTGGGGCGGGGGGGACCCCCCGAGGCTTGCTGACGAGGTGGTGGTACTAACCGTGGGGAAGGGGCCATTTGGGTGCCGCATGGACAGGTCTGATGACAAATTACAATGTGTGAGGAGTACAGCTACCCAAGGGCCAGGGCGCTGAGGGGAAGGAGGGGGCATTACCTGAAATTCCCACAGTGGGCAGGGTCTCCCCTGTGTACCACAGACTAGCAGCCCTTGACTTTTTTTGGATCACTGCTGCCTTGAGACTCTCCCTGTAAGGATGTGTACTGAAGCACCTGAGTGGTCCCATAATCCCACCAGCAGCCCAGTCACAGACAGTCCTCTGGGAGCCACGTGGGACAGCGATGATCTGGGGCACAGTTGCCGGCACCCCCAGGAGTTGGCTAACAGCATCCCCTTGCCTACCTGCTATTCAGAACCCCTGCCAAATTCGCCACTGTTCCGTGATACATGGGGAACCAGCCAGGAGAGGGTAAGAGGTTTGTGGTCGTGGTGAGGACACAGATGCTGGTGGATGTTGGTGGCATTTTCCTCCCATATGTGTGGAGGTACTTCTCTTGAGCCCTCATCAGTGGCCAGGCAGGGTTCACGCCTTCCAGAGCCTCAGGAACAAGGGCTCGGGCTTTGTATTAGTTACCTATTGCTGCTGTAACAAATAATCTCAAATATAGTGGCCTTAAGTGACACAGCTTTGTAACAGTCTTATAGTTCTGGAAGTCTGAAGTCCGACGTGAGTCTCATGGGGTCAAAACCAGGTACCCATTGAGCTGTGTCCCTTCCCGGAAGCTCCAGGAGAGACAATGTGCTCCTTAGTCTTCTTCCTCCTGGATGCCTCAGGAGGAAGCCTGCCACTCCCCCCTCCCTCCTCCTTCAAAGACCGTACCATCCAGGCTCTCTGACCCTGCTTCCATCCTGCTTTCTCCTTCCCTCTTCTGCCTTCCTCTTGTATTTTTTAGGACCCTTGCGATTGGACCCACCAGGGTCATCCAAGCTGCTCTCCTGCTTCAGTAACTTTCACGCCATCTGAAGACTTTGCCCTGTAGGTTCCAGGGATTAGGACCATTAAGCCATGATTCTGCTTCACAGTGTCTCAGGGCCTCCTGCCAGTTCCTAACGTTGTATGATTTGATGATCACACTGAGCCATCTTGACACTTCTGGGTCGGCTTTGTGCAGACCCATGTCATGACATCAGGTTAGGATGAGTGGGTGACTGGAGGTCAATGGTGATTTCAAACCATGGGATTTCACAGTTAGAGGGAGGGTGTCAAGTGAGGGGAGTGCACTATTAATACCTTTGCTCTTTTTAATTCATTTCTACATCGCTTTTAAAAAAACGCTGTTAATTCGGGGTGCCTAGGTGGCTCAGTTGGTTAAGCGTCCAACTCTGGATCTCAGCTCAGGTCGTGATCTCAGGGTTGTGACCCCTGGGTTTTATTTTTATTTTGTTTTCTTATTAAAAAATAAAATAAAAATTCTGTTCCTTCAGGGAGCTTTCACTGAGTGAAATTTAGCTTTCAAAAATATATATATTAGGCTTAAAATAGATACCTTTCAGGTCTTCCCTCCACACCTAGAAAATTGCTAGAAGGATGACTCCAGAAAAGAGGCTGATCCAGCCAGAAGAACATGTCTACTCCTGTTCATGGAGAGATGGACAAAAGTTCAACTCATGAACTAGCAATTACAGACTTCCCACGGGAAGGGCCTACGGCTCTGGAAGTATCAGAGCCAAATGGGGTATTGGTTAAAAAAAAAAAAAAAATGTGGGTTCTCAAGCCCATCTCCAGACACCTCGAGTTGGGGTGGTAGGGGGAGTGGTTCCAGAGTGTGCATTTGTCCCAAGAACCCCAGTGATCCTTAGGTATGGTGAAGTTGGGAGACCACTGGTTGTAGACTTCATTTCCCTTTTTCCTAATATCTGACAGTTTTATGGAGCTAATTCCCATCCTGTGGAGCTCCCTCTCTCACCAGGTACAATTCAGCCACTTTTGATGTATTCATAAAGTTGCGCAACCATCGCCACGGTCAGTTTTAGAAGAAGCTCTCTGGGGCACCTGGGTGGCTCAGTGGGTTAAGGCCTCTGCCTTCGGCTCGGGTCATGATCCCAGGGTCCTGGGATCGAGCCCCACATTGGGCTCTCTGCTCGGCGGGGAGCCTGCTTCCCCTCTCTGTCTCAGCCTGCCTCTCTGCCTACTTGTGATCTCTGTCTTTCAAATAAATAAATAAAATTTAAAAAAAAAAGAAGAAGAAGCTCTCCCTGCTGGCAGCCACTCCTCATTCTCCTGCTCCCCGCCCCCGCCCCCAGCCCCCAGCCCACCACACAGCTACTGTCTCCAAGGACGGATAGTTCCACTCTACGGATTGTCTGGTCTCTAGGTCATTTTATGTACATGGAATCCTATGCTACATGGTCTTTAATGACTGGCCTCTTTGACTCAGCATAATCTTTTAAAGGTTCACCTGTGTTGTAGCATACTTTTTTTAAATTGCCAAACAATATTCGATTGTATGGATAGACCATCTTTTATCCACTCAGGTGTTGATGGGTAATTGAATTGTTTCCACTTTCTGGTGACAGTGACTAATACTGCTGTGAACATTCATGTACAACTTTTTAAAAGATTATTTATTTATTTATTAGAGAGAGAGAGAGCACAAGCAGGGGGAGTGGGAGAGGAAGAAGGGCTCCCTGCTCAGCAGTGACTTGATGCGGGACTTGATCCCAGAACCCCGGGATCATGACCTGAGCCAAAGGTAGACACTTAACCGACTGAGCCACCCAGGTACCCCTAACAAACTTTTTTTTTTTAAGATTTTATTTATTTCGGGGGGGGGAGTGCAGGGGAGAGGGGCAGAAGGAGAATGAGAGGGAATTCCAAGCAGACTCTGCTCAGAACCCAATGTGGGGCTCAATCTCACGATCCCGAGATCATAACCGCAGCCAAAACCAGGAGTCAGATGCTTAAATGACTGCACCACCCAGGCGCCCCTTGTGAACAGGTGTTTATGTGGACACTTTTTTTTTTTTTTAAGATTTTATTTATTTATTTGACAGACAGAGATCACAAGCAGGCAGAGAGGCAGGCAGAGAGAGAGGAGGAAGCAGGCTCCCTGCTGAACAGAGAGCCCGATGCGGGGCTCGATCCCAGGACCCTGAGATCATGACCTGAGCCGAAGGCAGAGGCATTAACCCACTGAGCCACCCAGGCGCCCCTTATGTGGACACTTGATTCTGGTTCCCTTATGAAGTACTTGGAATGGAATTGCTGGGTCACGTGGTAACTTTGAGCTCAGTGTTTCGAGAAGCCGCTGACATCCCCATCATTAGTGTAAGAGGCTTCTAGTTTCTCCTCATCCAAACCAACACTTGTTTTGTCAGGTGTGTGTGTGTTCGTTTTATTATGTCCATCCCAGTGGTGTGAAGCCGTATGTCATGGTGGTTTTACCCGGTGTTCCTCTCGTGACTAACGACATTGAGCATCGCATATGCTTACTGGCCATTTGTATTTCTTCTTCAGAGAAAGGCTTATTCAGAGCTTTTGCCCATTTTTAAATTGGGTTATTGGTCTTTTTGTTATTGAGTTGTAAGAGTTCTTCATAAATTCCACATACAATTCCCTCATCAGAAATAGGAGTTGCAAAAATTCTTTCCCACTCTGTGGGCTGTCTTGAGCCTCTGGATGGTGTCCTCTGGTGTCCTCCCACAAAAGTGTTAAAGTTTGGTAGGGTCCGGTTTATCTCTTTTTCTTTGGCATGTACTTTTCATGTCATGTTGAAGAAAGCTTTGCCCGATTTAATGTAATGAAGATGTACTCCTCTCTCTCCTTTTTTTCCTTAAGAGTATTTTAAAGTTAATGTTTGTATATGGTGTGAGGAAGGGGTCCAACGCTACGGGCTTGCATCCCCAGGTCCAGGGGGAGCCTGCAAGCCGGAAGAGTGGGCTGGCTCCAGGAGATGTGCACTGAAGCTGATCTGTGTGTGGGTTGGGTCGGACCTCCTGGACTGGGGCTTCCACCATCAACTTTTCTGCCCAGAGCGGCTCTAGCAGGGGAGGCTTTGGCTGTGTCTTTTCTGCGGCTGGTCCCCACGTTCCTCCAGGACTGCTATGTCACACTGGGGGACAGGATGGGCAGGGCAGGGAAGGACTATGCTGGGGAAGCAGAGGTTGGCTTGTCCCAGGGTTGAACTGGGGGGCTGGGGACAAGAGGGATACAGAGACACTGATCCCAGGGGTGCCTTGGTCAGGTGACCCGTTACCAGGTGGATTTCCTTGAGGGCTCACCCACTTCCGGGGGCGGGTCTCCATATCTGTCACAGCCCAAGAGATCTCTGCTTTTATGCCAAGGGACTGGAGATGAGCGCTTGCAGGGGACAAGGCACCCTAATCGCACCCCTGACTCCTCTCACAGATGGGGTCTTGGAAAACTTCGGAAATCGGGGCATGGCCCCCTCAGGCCATGTGTGTTGGGAAGGGTTTCAGGAAACAGTGAGGACCGTAAACCGGGTTGATAAACTGGGTCGGGGGCAGGTAGGTATCTGTGAGCCTTGCCGTTGCCGGGGTGCCGAGAAGGGCAGGGGAGATGCCTACTAAGGATGAGGTCTTGTTTCTGGGCTAACACTGTACGCTGAGAAAGACCCTGCCATCTGCCCACCACTCAGGTGCCCCCACCAGACAAAAGTCCACTCCACACTGCCCTGCCAGGGGCCCCTGTAATACGTCCTTTCTGCTTCTCCAGCCCAGAAGCCAGGGATCCTGGAGTGACTGTGGATTCTCTGCACACCTCTACCATCCCGTCTCCTCCCAGCTGAGGCAGTGCCAGCCCCGGCTCAGGTACAAGGTCACTGCCCTCTGGGCGTCCCGGCATCTCTCGAGTGCTGTGTGGTCTGGGGCCTCCAGCCCAGGCTGGGGGACACATCAGGTTGTGAGTCCAGACAGTCCCGCCTCTCAGAGCCAGGCGTCCCCTTTGTGGTCTGCAGAGCACTCGCGGGTGCCCAGCTCGGTCTCCCTGTGACACAGTGTTAGGAGAAGGGTCATCGGGTATCCTGGGAGGGTCTGGGTGGGACCTGAGCCCATGACCCGCATGCTGGTCTATGAAGCTTGGTACTCAGGAAGGCCAGTTACTGTCATCCTGGATGAGGCACACCAGGTCCTGTGTGGGGTTGGGCTCTGGAACCCCCTCGACCCGACTCCTGGCTCTGCACTTCATGGATTTTGCCTCCTTCCTTAGGACAGAGCCCCTGGACTGCCAGCTTCCCGAGCAGGGAGGAGGAGGAGGAGGACGAGAACTCCACCTGCTGGGTCCTGAGCGTGGTCGCAGGGACGACCCATCATCCCAGAATGCCCCTGCCAGAGCCCAGCGAGCAGGAGGGCGAGAGTGTGAAGGCTGGCCAGGAGCCGTCCCCAGAGTCCTCTCAGCCAAGCACAGATGTCGTCCCCGCCGCACCCAGGAAGCCCAGAAAGTTTTCCAAACTGGTCCTGCTGACGGCCTCTAAGGACAGTGCCAAGGTGGCAGGGGCCAAGCGCAAAGGAGTGCACTGCGTCATGTCCCTGGGGGTGCCTGCCCCTGCCACCCTCGCCAGAGCCCTCCTCAAGATCCATCCTGAGGCTCAGAGGGCCATCGAGGCGCCCCCCCAGGAGCCTGAGCGGAAACGCAGCAAGCCGGACATAGGTGAGGCCCCTGGTGGTCATAGCGTGCATGGTGTGAGGAAGACCTTTCTGGGGCTGGAAGGCCCCTGACACCTGGGAGCCTGGGATCCAGAGGCCGGGCTGGTTCTGGCCTGCGTGTCTGTAGGCCTCCACACACGTGTGTCTGTGTGTGGATTGGCGTGGGAGGGTGAGCTTGTGTGTCCCTCCAGGTGTGTCTGTGTGGGTCCTTGGCCTATTTCTGTCCATTCTGCTCTTATGTGTCTATGTGTTTTTTTGTCTCTGAGGCCCCAGGCGGGCCCCCCACGGCCCACCCGGCTTGCTGCAGGCAACCCTGGAACATGGATGCATTCTTTGAGCGCGGGGTCCTGAGGGGTGCTTAAGGGAGGGGATGCCCAGTGGCTGGGGAAGAGATGAGCTGGGTTTCTTCCCAGCTGGAAGTGGGGTCTGCTGGGCCCTGAGGAGACGGGGATCATAAAACCACCATTTGCTGCCTGTGAACAGGTGGCCCCCTTGGAGCCAGCCGGGGCACTCGGCCGGGGCAGTGCAGGGGGCCCCACGCGCTGATGGAAGGGTAGGAGTGAGTGGTCTGAAGTCCTAGGGGAGGGAGCACCATGGCTTCCCCTGGAGTTTCGGGGGACCCAAGGGAGCCCTCAGCTTCCCTCAACTGCTAGACGGGAGCCACGCTCAAGGAGTCGGGGGACCCCATCCCCCCAGAGCTGGAGGCCCCGCCGCAGCCCATCCAGCTCACCCTTCAGTGTTCCTGCTGGCCAGTCCTGCTCCCAGTGGGCCCTCGAGTCCGCCTACTGCCTCCCACCAGTCCTAGGGGTGGAGGGAGCGGGACCCATGATCTGTGGGGAGGTGGGGCTCACGGAGCTAAGTCACCTCTCTGAGGCCACCCGCTGGTCACAGCAGAGGGTGGAGCAGGGAACGTCAGGCCAGAGCCTGTTCTTCTCCCGGAGCTGGGGGATGGGCCATCCCCTGGTCCCTTCCACCCCATCTCAGACCTGCCTGGGCTCTTGGACCACGTGGGCCCCACCCATCCGCCATGGCCCCTTGGCAGGAATTACCACCCGTCCTCAGCTAGAGGGCTGGAGGGCAGAGCTAGGACTATGTTTCGGCCCAACTGACTCCCCTAGGCAAGTGCTCTTGGGCAGTGAACAGCCCCGTCAGCCTGTCGCCTTGTGTCTACCTCCAGGCCTGGTCCCCAGACTTCCCACCTCTTACACCATTCCAGGCCGGGTGGTGGGGGTAGCAGTGGCTTTCTTGTTGTCAGCCCAGATCTGGCCCAAAGTTCCCTGGAAATGACTTTAACAGCCTCTTTGTCCCTGGGCTGGTGGCCATGGGGAGCGTGTCTCTGAAATCAGCTCTGATTTCTGAAAGTCAGCCAGTAGCATCCCACAACATGCCCCGGCTGAGCTGAGAGCTTCAGGCCCTGGATTGCCCCCCACCCCCGCTGCCCTTTTCCTTGGACACCAGCCTGACCCACTCCCTTTTCTTCCAGACGGAAAAGAAGATGGAAAGTTGGCAGGGCAGTCTGCCCCCAGGACCGAGGTGGTGGGGGAGGAGCCCACTGCAGATGCCGTCATGCCCAACACGCTCCTGTAACTCTGACAAACACGGGTATGCCCTTACTGGGTCAGTGAACTTGGCTGTGACTTCTGCTGGGGACATAGTTGCAAATGATTTTCACTCTCAGACGTTGTGTAATGTTTTCCAAATCAAGTATAAATTACTTTTATAAACAGAAAAAAAAAAAAACTCAAAGAGGATCAAAGAAGCTATATGCTAGTTCCCATTATGGACAGGTTTTAAACCCTTCTGTGGTCCTTTGAGACCCCACTTGCAACCCCACCAGCCCTCCCAGGGCTCTTTCCCAGGACCTCAGCCTCTCCGCCTGGAGAGCCAATCACTGGCCCAGAGACTAGGTAGGGTCTCTGAGTTTTCTCCTTCCTGCTGCTCCTGGCCTGAAAGGGGGACAGTGGGACCCCCAGGCCTGAGCCCCTGGGCAGGCTTTCTGGCCCCTCCCTGATCATCCCTCCCAGGCCTGTTCCCAGGAGGCTTCAGCCCACTGGTGCCAGATCATCAGGAGGCTCGCCTCCTCCAGGAAGCCCACCACCTGACAGCTTCCTCCACCCCTCATGGGGGCCTGTGTTCGTGGCTGCCAAGGGTTCTGCCGGGGAGGGTGCGGGCCTGCAGTATGGCAGGCAGATCCCGATAGAAGTGTACGATACCCCTACCATGTTCCTTCTGGGGGTGTTTTGGGGGCTGAGATTCCTGGGCACCTGAGCCCCTCCCCTCCGTTCACCTGGGTGTCATCCCTGGAGGCCCCCCAACAGGAAAGGCTTCGTTCAGCCTCCTTCACCTCGCGTGGTCTTTGTTTTGTGAAAACTGCCATCAGGCAAAGGAAACAGATGGATTATTTCTAAAAAGTTGAGACCAGAGGCCTTACGTTTTTTAACATCATTTTCCCAAATTCAGCCTGTATCTATGGACCCGTCTAGGCAAAGGGAGTTCCTCAGCCCCCTCCTGGCCCAGCACCTCTCTTGGTTATCCCTGTATCCCTCCAGCGCGGTTGTTACATTTATATTCTGTAACCATCGTTTGAAACGTTCCTTTGTCTTCATTTGATATTTAAATAGATTCCCGCTCCCCACCACGTTTCTCCTTTCCTGCCGCTCTGGGTCATCCTCTTGGTGGGCTGGTGGTCAGTTGACAAGAACGCCGGAGGAGTTGGTGGTGGGACGCCCCCTGGAGGCAGAGTGAAGAAGGCGTGAGGGGACAGGGGCCTGGCCAGGAGCGACTTGGTGCTGCTGGGCCTGCTGTCCCTGCTGTCCTGGCTGCTGGCATACATGGTGGGCAGTGGCTCTGGGTCTGGGGGCCTGGAGCCCATAGGGAGGATTCCAGGCTCATGATGGGGAGTGGGAGGCTGGGGAAGGATTTACACAGATGAGGGACAGGGTTAGCCTCATTTTACAAAGCCCTCAGGCACCATGAAGGGAACCGACTGGAAACGTCCAACGTGGGCTCTGAAAGGCTGGCAAGGAGGCCACCACAGCCTTAATGGAGAGGAGATAGGGGAGGTCGCGGTGCTGGCAAGACCTGACACCGGGTCAGTGACCGGTTGTCCCATCTGGGAGAGACAGTGTCGGCAATCAGGAGGAGAGCTGATGTGTTCCTGTGAAGAGTGGTTCCCTCAGATGTTAGAGCAGAAGATCCTCAGAGGTCACAGAGTGACGTAAGCGCTCGGTCTCTGCACTCTGTGCGTGTGGGGGGTCTTCATTATAGAGCGAAGGGGGCTCTGAGTCAAGAGTCAGCGTACCTGTGAGGCTCCATCTGTTCAGCTCAGGTCACGATCTCAGGGCCATGAGATGGAGCCCCACTGGGCGTGGAGTGTGCTTAAGATTCTCTCCCTCTACCCTCCTTCTCCTCCCCTCCCCTTAAAAAAAAAAAAAAAGTAAATAGGATGACTATACACTTCCTTCCAAACATAATGTATTGGTCTTCAAGCTGTAAAAAAAAAAAAAAAAGGGTAATTCATGTTCATTGAAATAAATACATACTGATTATGAAAACTATATTACAGATATTTCCAGTAACTCATCTAGATAGAAGTCTATAATATTTTTCTTTTTCAAGATTTTATTTATTTCTTTGACAGAGAGAGAGGTCACAAGCAGGCGGCGGGGGAGGGTGGGGAAGCAGGCTCCTTGCTGAGCAGAGAGCCCATGCGGGGCTCCGTTCCAGGACCCTGAGATCATGACCTGAGCCGAAGGCAGAGGCTCAACCCACTGAGCCACCCAGGCGCCCCTATGATATTTTTCATATTCAGAAAACTGGGATGATCCAGGTCATTTTCTCTTAATTACGAATGTGTTTCCAACCCGGTTTTACGGACTGCAGCACGCCGCTACGGGGACGGGAGCCCATGCATCCCGCACACCTGCCGCCGGCTGCACCCGGTCCTCTCCAGCTGGTCAGCAATCCCGTAAATTGCCCTGAATTTTCCTGGGTCGAAGCTCTAGAAGGGAGACCGCGGCTCATGGGGTGGACCACCAACTCCCGTGCTCCCTGCGGCCGGCAGGGCCCGCCCCGAGCGTCCTTGCCCCCGGCACCAGCGCTGTCACCGAGAAGATGGTAATCATAACTGCGACAGCCGCAGCACGCTCCGCGTGTCGGGTGAGCACGGCCTCCGCGCGTTGGCTCCGGGCGTTCGCGCCGCGCGCACCCGGGCCGAGGCGGCCGGAAGCCGGCAGGGGGCGCGCGCGGCCCGGAGGCCGCGGTCCCCCAGCTTCCCCAGCAGAACGAGCGCGCCCCGGCTCCCGTCTGCCTTACGCAGCGCTGGGCGTAGGCGCTCGAGCCCCGAGGGTTCCTGCGTAACCACCTGCAGCGCCCCCTCCCCCGGGTCGCATCTCCCCGTCGCACGCTCCACCCACGCAACAGCGCTCCCGTCACTGTTTGTTCCCACTGCTGCTCGCCCGCTCCCCCGGACAGAAGCTCTGCGCACCCGAGCAGGGGTCTCTGTGAATTTGGGTCCCTGAGACGTCCCTGTGGATCTGGAGCTGGTGGAGGACAGAGAGGGGCCAGGAGTCGGAGGACCGGCCGGCCCCACGGGACCCGCACCTGCACCTGCCCGGAGCCGGGGGCTGGGGTCCTTCCAGTAGCAGCTGTAGGGCAACAGCAGTGAGGCGCAGGGGCGGGGGTGTCAGGGCAGCGGGGGTTTCTGGAGAGGGGCAGCGTCTTCGCTCCGCAAAGGCTGAGGTCGCGCAGCCGGAAGGCGGCGGGCTCCGGCCCGGCGAAGGGGAGCGGGCGGATCGAGGGGTCCCCGCGGGGCTGGGGAGGGTCGCGGTGAGCGGAGGGGCCGGGAGCCGTGCGGAGTGGAGGCGGGGGCGTCCCCGCACCTGGGGCGGGCGAGGGGCCACCTGGCGGCAGTTGAGCTGATGCTGGGGCCGCTCAGGCCGCCTCCCGCCGAGCGTCCAGGAAAGCAGCTCCGCGCTGTAGTCTGGGTCCCCACGGCACTAGGTGGTCGGAGAACGACAAGCGTCCGGCGCCTGTGGGTTGTGGGTGGGGCTGGACCGGTGGGCCAGGGAGGGACAGGTGGGCCAGGAAGGAGGGGCTGGGTCTGGCGGGATCCTGAGATCTACCACCTGAGCGGAAATCCAGAGTCAGCCCCTAACCGATTGTGTTACCCAGGCAACCCTGTCTGCTGTTTTGTTTCCATGATTTCACACCTATAGGAAAGTTGCAAAACGTGTAAAAACATTCCTATCTGCTTTTCACCCAGATTTCCCAAATGTTAGGAAGAAAGCCAACCACCCGGCAGTATTTATAATAGTGGGATTTAGAACCGCAACGTCCACCAAGAAAAGAACTACCGGCGCCTGGGTGGCTCAGTGGGTTGAGCCTCTGCCTTTGGCTCGGGTCATGATCTCACGGTCCTGGGATCGAGCCCCGCATCGGGCTCTCTGCTCAGCAGGGAGCCTGCTTCTCCGTCTCTCTCTGCCTGCCTCTCTGCCTACTTGTCTCCGTCTCGCTCTGCCTCTCTCTCTGCCTGCCTCTCTGCCTACTTGTGATCTCTCTCTCTCTGTCAAAGAAATAAAATCTTTTTTAAAAAAGATTTTATTTATTTATTTGACAGAGATCACAAGTAGGCAGAGAAGCAGGCAGAGAGGAGGAAGCAGGGGCCCTGCCGAGCAGAGAGCCCGATGTGGGTCTAGATCCCAGGACCCTGAGATCATGACCGGAGCCGAAGGCAGAGGCTTCAACCTACTGAGCCACCCAGGCACCCAAATAAAATATTTTTTAAAAAAAGGACAAAGATGGGGCGCCTGGGTGGCTCAGTGGGTTAAAGCCTCTGCCTTTGGCTCAGGTCATGATCCCAGGGTCCTGGGATCGAGCCCCATATCGGGCTCTCTGCTCGGCAGGGAGCCTGTTTCCTTCTCTCTCTCTGCCTGCCTTTCTGCCTGCTTGTGATCTCTATCTGTCAAATAAATAAATAAAATCTTAAAAAAAAAAAAAAGGACAAAGTTGGAGAACTCACACTCTCTGATTTCAGAACTCACTACAAAGGAGCAGTAATCAAGACAGTGTGGTATTGGTGTAAAAAGGGCCATAGATCAATTAAATAAAGGGGAGAGTCCAGGAATAAACCCTCTGATTTATGGCCAACTGAGTTTCATTGAGGGCACCAAAACTACTAAATGGGGTGAACAACAGTGTCATTCTCAACAAATGGTAGTGGGACCACTAGGATATCCATGTGCATAAGAATGAAGTTGGAGCCCTACCTCACCCCATATACAAAAAATAACTGAAAATGGGTCTAAGACTCAAATGTTATGAGTTTAAATCTAAAACTCCTAAAATACATATGGAGTAAATCTTTGTGAATGGGGATTAGGCAGTGATTTCTTTTTTTTTTTTTTATAAATTTGTGCCATTTTTAAAAATATTTTATTTATTTATTTGAAAGACAGAGATCACAAGTAGGCAGAGAGACAGGCAGAGGGAGAGGAAGGGAAGCAGGCTCCCTGCTGAGCAGAAAGCCTGATGTGGGTCTCCATCCCAGGACCCTGGGATCATGACCTGAGCTGAAGGCAGAGGCTTTAACCCACTGAGCCACCCAGGCACCCCGGGCAGTGATTTCTTTTTAAAATTGTATTCACTTATTTGAGAGAAGGAGAGAGCATGAGCAAGGGGGAGGGGCAGAGGGAGAAGCAGACTCCCCACGGAGCAGGGAGCCCCATAAGGGGCTCAATTCCAGGACCCGGGGGCCGGACCTGAGTCAAAGGCAGATGCTTAACCAACTGAGCCATCCAGGCAACCCTAGACAGTGATTTCTTAGGTAGACACCAAAAACACAAGCCACAACAACAAAAAATGAAGTTCCATTGTTTTTGCTGTTCAGTTTGGGCACTGGGGGAATAAAAACGTCATGCTTTCAGAATGTGTTGGCTAAATCACAGGGGTGAAAAGTGCAGTCTAGGGAGTACAGTGATAGTGCAATAACCTTGCATAGTGACAGGTCTGATTATGCTCATCGTGATGTGCTGTTGCCTAGTGTATAGAATTGTCCGGTCACTGTGTTGTACACCTGACATTGATATAACATTGTCAGCCAGACTTCAATAAGAAAAGCAAAGTGTAAAACAAGCGATTAACAATAAATATGGGAAAGCTGGGCACCAGAGTGTCGCAGTCCGTTAAGCATCTGCCTTGGGCTGGGGTCTCATGATCTCGGGGTCCTGGGATTGAGCTCTCTGCTCAGCAGCAAGTCTACTTCTCCCTCTTCCTCTGTGATCTCTCTCGGTCTCTCTCAAGTAAATGTATAAAATCTTAAAAAAAAAAAATTTTTTAAAAACCCAGGCTAGGGGCGCCTGGGTGGCTCAGTGGGTTAAGCCGCTGCCTTCGGCTCAGGTCATGATCTCAGGGTCCTGGGATCGAGTCCCGCATCGGGCTCTCTGCTCAGCAGGGAGCCTGCTTCCCTCTCTCTCTCTGCCTGCCTCTCTGTCTACTTATGATCTCTCTCTGTCAAATAAATAAATAAAATCTTAAAAAAAAAAAACCCAGGCTAAGTGAAATAAGTCAGACATAAAACACTACATATTGTATGATTCCATTTATATGAATGTCCAAAATAGGCACATCTATAGGGGCA